GTAAGGATATCTATTCTGATTTTGTTGAACTGTTAATCTGACCTTTTTCTTTTCTCCCATTCCCTTGACCTCTCTCCTACCCCCCCCCTCCTGCAAACTCTCATTGTTATTAGTATCATTGTGATACATATACTATCACTATTATTAGTAGTGTTGCGGTTGTTCCTTTGTTATTATTGCAATTAGGTTTATTATAATGCTGTTGATGCTAATGATTAGTATTATTAACATTATTATTATTATCCTAAACATTATTGTTTATAAATATAATTGTATTATAATTATAATTATTATTGGTATTATCATTACTATTATTATTGATTATTATCACTATCATTTTCATCATTAGTAATAGTTTTAACAGTAATAGCAGAAATAGTATTAATAGTAACTATTATTATTATTATGGTCATTATTCTTGCTGTTTTTATTGCTATAATAATATTTTGCATCATCATTATTCTCATCATTTTTGCTATTATAACTATAATAATAATAATTATTATTATTATTATTACTATTATTATTATTGTTATTATTATCATCATCATAATCATAATCATAAACATACAACTAATAATAATGATGATTATGATGATAGTAGCAATTGTCATAATAATGATCTATTATCATTATATCATTATTGGCGTTTTATTGTTGCTGCTGTTATTATCCTTTCATGTTTTATTATTATTGTCATGACTTTTAACATTTTCTTATTTTTCATTATTTTTATAATCATCATTATCTCTTTATCTCCTTAATTGATGATGGTATTTAAAGTATCACCATTAAGGTTACTTTTGTAATCATCATTAGGATTACCTTTATTATTACCATAATTTAACATATTCTCATTGCCATCATCATCATCATTAATATCATTATCAAGATTTTCATACTGAGGGTCGTGATGCGTTGGGGCTAAGCGGCTGGTTGCTCGCCTGACCCGTTTCCGGCCACTTTTACTTGGCATAATTATTATCATTATCATCATCATATGGTTACTGTGACCCTTCAGACAAAATCTCGATTTTTCGTTTACGTCATTATGTGATGGCTTAACTATTTGAGTATCGTTTAAACCAACTCGATCATTTCCACAATTACCTGGATATCTGAATCTTTTAAAAGGAGCAACCTTGACTGAAAATATTGCGGGAATAGAAATTGGGGGATTAAAGTAAACTCACGACCTTACAGCTACATTCACAACATCCTGTGCCACTATTTTTTTGATATAATGCTTTATCAAGCCCGCGCTTAAGGCTTATTGCTTGACTTCGACGTAATCGGTTCTCTAACATCTTTTGCTTCATTTCGATAAAAGACTGCTTTCCCAAAAAAGGATTCCGTTATATTGGTAGGTACTGAGAAATCTTTGTGTGCACAACAGGCCAATAAAGCATATGATTATGAAACGTCCAATTTTTAAACAGGTTTGAAAGTTGGGTCGAGGGAAATTTCTCTTAGGAAATCTCGTACACCCTACCTAGAAATCCTTTAAAAAATCCAGAAATCCTTAAAATGTTCTTAAAAAATTTGAATATCTCGGCAAAAGCGCAGAATACCCTTAACATATACTCAATTGATTTGATAATATCACAAATGATCTGTACCAGATTTTAGACGAAATCAATCATTGCGGAAAAGCGAGCGAATTTGAGGTCCTGAACTACAAAACCAGGTCACGAATTTAAATATGATTTTTTCATAAAATGTGCTGTCTTAAATAATCCTATAAGTTTAAATTCTAACATTTCTATATACAAATTTAAATCCTTTCAAATAACATATGTATAAGAATGCTCTTGTGATTCCCAGGACCTCAATCGGATGGCGCAATATTTGTTTACACAGGTTGTTTGCTGCCTAGATAGATAGGGTCAATCAATTCCCATCAAGAAAGGCGATATTGACGGAAAAGGTGTTAGTGTGAAAGTGCCTGAAACGAGCGAGCGATTTGCCATGTGTCACCAGGGCCACCAGTGGCGCCTGCTACAGGAACTGGTCTATATCTCCACTGTTAGGGGGTGCAAGTGAAGCTCCCTAGTCGGCAAAGGACTGGGCAGTCCCACGTTGGTGCTGTTTGCTATCTCACACCCCCAGTGGGTGGGCGATAGCATTCCATAGGGGCGAGAAGTGTCCATCTTGAAGACAATTTAATCTATTTATTACTCATAATCAAGAAACAGGAAGAAACAGCTATTGAATTGAAAATTCATTTATATGAACGTTTTAATGTGTTCTTTGATTTTGACATGTAGGTATTTTTGTAGGGTTTATTCAAATAACCTGGGACATGTTTTCTTGTCCATATGTTTGATTTTTGTTAAAATAATAGAAAATGAAAAAGAATATTTTCTTTCGATTATCAAATTTAACTTCACCTCTTTTATCTTTAGATCAATAAATTTAGGCATATTTTTTTTTCTTTTTTTACCAGCATGGCGGCTTTGGTGGAAGTCCTTTTTGCAGAAATTGTTTGTGCTCAAACCTCTGCAAATAATGTAACAGGTGGCGTTCAGCTAGCACAATGGTTGCAACACTTGTTACTAACGTCAATCTCGTCTATAATCTACCAAACGCAGTGGTAGCTAGACCTATGTCGTAGGTTTTACTATTATTGTTCGAGGAAAAGCTAATAGCTCATATCCTGTGACACCTGAGTACGAAATGGCCGAGGGATTCTGGCTTTTTCTCTTACCATATCCCTAGTCCATCGCGATCCCGGTGTTGTATTCGTTTGCACGAAGTTTCGTGTTAGGGTTGCAAAAGGACGATCCCGAAAGTCATATCCATTATTTTATATTTTATCATTAAAACACGGAAATTAAATTATGAATGTTATGCACCAATCGTTATCGTCTCTGCTTGCAACGTTTCGGACCTTTTCCTTGCTGTTTTTCGTATTTGGCGCCATTCGACTTTCCGCGCCAACCAGAATGGACCGCCTTCCAGTGCTTTCTGAGTGCCAGAGAATTGTTTTATTACAATTGGTTGAAGATCGGCCAGTCATTCAAGACAAGAGCTCAAGCCTCGGCTTGAATGAGAAGAAGAGGAAAGCCTGGGAAGAACTAACCGCTTGCTTCAACGCCAGAAACCCTGAAGAAACGCAATGATCTGTGAAGCAGCTACGAAGATGTTTTGAATACATCAAAAAGAAAGTAAGTAATTCAATTTGAAATATTTGACAGTAGCTCTGAGCAACCATCATTATTATTATTATTATTATTATTATCAAAACAGGACGTTTAAAATATACTTTTCAACTTATATTATGTATCTATTTACTCTACATTAAAAAACACTATAATCTTCGTTAGTTTTGAAGTGTCAGTAATAGTAAAAGTAACGACAAATGATATTAATAATAATATAAATAAAGCATTCTGGGTCTTAAGAAATGTACAAATGTATCACGCAAAGAAAAAGCTAGAGTCGGAGATAGAGGAAATTTTGGCGCCCAAACTTTACCTTGATGGCGGGAAAGAAAATATTAAATTTGAAATATATGATAAACGTGGCCTAAGATTTAATTAATAATTGTTTGTTCGTATATTATATCAAATTCCATAAACTACTAATCATACCCAACATTGATATAATTAAGCTGAACAAACCATATATCAATCTTATATGAAAATCCCCAGTATAACATGTGGAAAAAACTTTTTTTTCAAATCAAATAATAACCAATAGACTTTGAAATAACCAATAACCTGAACTAGTAAACTGAATGTTAAAATATCTCTTAATTTGTTCTGTTATTCAGGTTAGAGAGAAATGCTTCGTATGAAGCCTTATTATGAAAATGAGGTTAATCAAGTTCATAATTATTTAGGATAATCATAATAGGTTCAATGTTTTGCAGAAGAAATAAGGATATGCAATACAGATGCAAAATCAGGAAAACTGGTAGTGGACGACCAGAGGCAATTCCAGAGCTGAGCCACTCATTGGACCTGAACTTTTAATGGCTGATGATGCCTTTGAAACTTTTACGTCACCCAGTGGATGAGACAGCAAATATTCTTTTTTAATTTTTACAATTACCTGATAGGTCTCTGTGTATTTTGGCAAGTGGACTTAAATGTATGTGTATTAGGGCCTTTATTTTTTTTACCTAAATGTATGTTTATGTCTATACATTCATCATTATTTTAGTTACTGTTGACATCCATCAACCACAAGCATCATCAGCTGCTTCTCCAGCTGTCACAGTTCCAGCTCCAGTTTCACTACCACTTAGGGTAGTCACCTCCAGCTGATCCATCTCCGATTTTTTTTATCTACATACCGTAGCTGGGAAAGTGGCTCGTGAAGCAAGAATGCTAAAAATGTGTATGAGCTGTGCGAGAAAAGGCAAGATGAGTACCACATGCACAAGATGCAAATAAAGCATGTAGTGAAATGAAAATGTTGGCAGCCAAGATGGAAATAATGAAGAAGCAGCACGGAAAAAAGACGGAACTGTTGAAGCCTAGGATGGAGATGATGATAAAGAAAGATGAATGTGAAGAAGCCACTATCACCACTTTAAATAAAGTCTCTCAAATGCTAGATACTGTCAATAACAATTTACAAATTTCTTGTGATAAATTTAGTAGTTAAAAAGAATGCTTTAGCAGCTTATGAGTAGATGACAAACAGCTGTTAATTTGAAATATATATTTACAGTATTGAAATTTGTATAAATACCTGGAGAGAGATACTATTTGAGGAATTGCCATAGTAAGGCATTATCTATTGTCAGTTAGTTTGAATAAGTGTGGAAGGCTTCATTTTGATTTTTGATATTTGCATTTGTGTGTTTGCATTCTATTTATTATTCATTTATTACCAAATTAGACACTGAATCTTATGAATAGAATATTTCAATCAAAAGACTTTATTACAGATACATTTTATGCATATGGATTAACTTTGTTCTAGTACTTCCATGAATAAAATAATGGAATAAAAAAAATGTTTCTTTTTGATGAATATTATTCAAACCA